TGACTTCTAAGAAAAGGCTAGATGAAAGAAAACAAAGGAAAAGGGAAAATTATGAGGGAAGGGACATAAGAAAGACAAATGAAGATAATTGGAGGGAGGACAAAAAAGGGATTAAAGAGAACGTAAGAGAAAAGAAAGAAGATAAATGAAGGAAAAAGATGGACAAGGTGTGTGAGAGAGGAAGGAGGGAAGGAGCGAGCCATAAACAAAATGGGAACCCAGGCAATGCTGGATATATATGCTAGTAAATAATAAAAATTTCACATTTATTAATCACAGTAATGTAACAAACATGCATGGCTTTGCTAATTTTGTATTACTCGTTTTGGTTAAACAGAAAAGAAAAGACATATACGAAATATTTAAGTCCGACCCCCTACCATAGAAACATTGTTCATCAGTTCTCCCATAACTGTCAATATCTCAGAAAAAAGAGCCCCACACTTTTCACGCATATCTGCAAATCTGAAAACAAGATTCATTAGATGCTATTTTGTATAGGAGACTGAAAATTCTTAGGATGCCAAATAGCTGCCTTAAATCCTATCATGGGAAAATAGTATATTTAATACATACTGGTAATATAATTATTGACAAGGTGTAACAGAAAATATATTCAGTCCTGGCTATACGTTTACTAAACTGTGCAATTTGGTAACACTTCTTGATCCATGGAGTTTAGACTTTGGCCCCAGTAAGACTGGCCATTGGTCAGGGATTCTAGAAGTTGGAAGTCCAAGATTTCTGAAACACTATAAAGTTTGATAATGTAAGAACTGGTATGCAAATCTAGCTCAAATCAACCTGGCAGACAATCAAGGGGAAATACTTATAAGTATATTCCTGTGTTTGTGTACTTAAGAATGAGTATCATACTACTGCTGATATGCACATAGGCTTAATGACACAAAAAGTACTATTATTAGGTATTCACAAATACTTTTTCATCTTAAGGTCAGTAATTCAGAATTGATTAGTGGTTGAATGATTGTCTTTTGTACTTTATTTCTGATGTTAAGGAAGCAACTGAGTATAATTGTGCCTTTTACATCAAACAAATAGAGGTTTCAAGATTAAAATTCTAGAAAGAAGACAAAAGAAACAAGGACCTAGTTCAGCACAATGGGAGTCATGTTAATGGCTGATTCAATTACTGATTTATTCAGTAATTATTCAAAAACATTTTGTCCATAGGCTGATTTCCTTGTACTACATTCCTGTTTATTAAAAATAAATCCTTTATTCAGGATTTGTCTTCAATTTTTTCAAAGTGCGTTTAATTGCAGATAAACCAAAACTCGTCTCATGAGTATTTGAGGCAGTGTCATTTTATAGTATAACTGTCTTGAAATGACCCCTAATTTGGACTGACATTGTTTCTTTGTCTCAAATTTTCAGATGTAAAATCATACTACATATTTTTGACATTAATACTGAAATCTGAAAAAGATACAAAAAATCTTTATGAAACAATTCTAAAACAGTTACTGTACTGTATTGCTATTCCTAGGACTCCGGGTGCATCTGCACTGTAGAATTAATGCAGTTTGACACCATTTTAACTTCAGTGGCTCAATGCTATGGAACCATAGCAGTTGTAGTTTTACAACGTCTTGAGCCTTCTCTCCCAAAGATTGCCAAACTCCACTCCTAGGATTCCATATCACTGAGCCATAGCACTACAAGTGGTACTTCTCTCCCAAAGATTGCCAAACTCCACTCCTAGGATTCCATAGCACTGAGCCATAGCACTACAAGTGGTGACAAAGTGCTTAAATTTTTCAGAGTAGATGCATCCTCAGTTGGAGGCACAGTACAATAGTGATTGTGGTCATTCTTGTCTTGGAACAGCTTTAGGCAGCATGAAAGTGATAACGTGTGAATACTTTCACAGTGGACCTGGAAGTTTAAATTGTGCTATACTATAACTTTATCATGAAAAATGTACAGTTATGGTTCACTGTGTGTAGATGACATTAAGAATACAGTGATCCCTGTACCCACAGATTCTATATCTATGCATTCACTTACTCATCCCCCCCCCCCCCAAATCTTTCCTGAAGTGTTTGTGTGCCTCTCTTGGTCCTCCAATGTGAACTATGGTATGTTTTCGGCTCAAGTATAGTCAAAATATAGGGTTCGCTATTATCCACAGATTTGGTATATACAGAAGGTCTAAGACTATACCTCCTGTGGATACAGGGGCTATACTACACTGGCCTGGTCAAGATTCATTGTAATCAAGTGTTTTTCACCCAAACAAAGGCTTCTTATTTTTGCGTGCCTTCAGGTTAGTTCTGATTTATGGTGACTTTAAGGCAACCCTATTGCAGGGTTTTCTTGGTAATATTTCTTCAGAATGGGCTTTCTATTGCCTTCTCAGAATGAAAGAATGTGGCCTTGCCAAGGTCACCCATTGGGTTTCCATGGCCAGCAGGGATTTGAACCCTGATCTTCAGAGTCATAGAATGCACCTACACTATAGAATTAATGCAGTTTGCCACTACTTTAGCTTCCATGGCTCAGTGCCATGGAATCTTGGGAGTTATAATTTTGTGAGGTACCAACATTCAGAGATAGAAGGCTAACAACCTTTTAAAACGATGGCTCCGTAATTCCATAGCATTGAGTGATAGCAGTTAAAGTAGTGGCAAACTGCACTGTTTTTGCAGAGTGGGTGCACCCATTGTCCAGTGCTCAAATCACTACCAATAAAGGGTGAATAAGAAGAGGTCATTAATGAAGGGTAAAACTGTGGCTTCTTATTTATTACTATTTGCTTATTTAATTTAAAGTATTTATATTCAGCTCTTTCACCACAAAGATTTTCAGAGTTGTTTACTCTGAAAGGTTGAGAAAGGCTAGCTTAGGACACTTCCAGACAGACCCTATAGCCCAGGATCGAATCCCAAGTTTTCTGTTTATCCCATATTATCTGGCAATGTGGACTCATATAATCCAGTTTAAAGCAGAAAATGTGGGATCAGATCCTGGGATATAGGGTTTGTCTGAAAGAGCCCTCTGAATAACCGTGATCAGCTTATCTGAGATTTATTTACCATATATTCTCATGTATATTTCAAGGGTAGGTTTTTGGTTTCAGAATTATGGCTTTTGTTATGATCCATGGATATGTTGAGGGTCATTTTGTAGAGAAATAAAGACACCAATGCTGCCTTTGGGGGGGGGGGTCAGTCTCCTCTGGGTGCTGCTGCTGCCAATTCCCTGCCCAGCATTCAAAAAGGCCAAGAGTGGTACCATGACAGAAAGCAGAAGGGATCAGTGCTTCTTTTAGGTTCTCCTGGGATAAACTAAACTGTTGCTTTCACTGCTCTACTCAGAGAATGGGGTGGTTCATTTTTTGTCATAAGATTAAGGGACGGTAGTCACATTGAACCGTTGATAAGTCCACCCAAGTTTTTTTGCTTGATTTTTTGACTAAAATTTCTAGGCATATACATGAGTACATAGGGTGTTTGTTTATTGTGGAGTATTTATACCACATGCATCCAGAACAGCTTACAAATGGTTAATTTGACAGTTCTCTACCCTCCAGTTTACCATCTTAATATGTCCTCCAAGGAAAAGCGAATGGCCATGGGGGTCAGGGTGATGGTTAAGTCCAGCAGATACTACCTCTTTTTTTCCTCTGAAGCCAGGGCAGTGGCAGCTCCCCTCAACCTCTGTGCCTATCAGGTGTAAGGAAGGCATTCTTTATTAGTAAGAAATAACTTGCAGTATAGTTTTTTTGTTTATTTAGTTTGCTCTTACATACATATTCATTACATGCAAATGTCTATGTTATCAACACAGTGTAATCAGAAATATAATTGAAATTGTGATCATTCTTATGCCACTACTTTCAAGGTTTTACTAACGCTAAAGCTCCACACTTCAACATACTTGTCACTGAAGTTACCTGCATTACTTGAAGTTATGGTTGCAAATGATGAATTAAATAGAATAATTCTGTTATAGGGTAAAAATATTAACTATTTACTCGAATAGTGCTCACCTTTTTGGGCTAAATGACCTCAACAAAATTGGAGTGCACATTAAATTCACATCATATGGTAATCTTAGTGTTGAGCCAAAGGAAAAGGGGAAGCTACTTTAGGAACCACGCCCAGAGCTCCTCTTTGAGGGATCTCACCTTTCATCTAAGGGCCACAACTCAATGCTATGCAATCCTGGGAATTGTAGTTTAGTGAGATATCAGCATTCTTTGGCAAATAAGGCTCAAGGCCTTGTAAAACTACAGCCCCCCATGACTCCATAGCATTGAACCAAAGCAGTTAAAGCAGATTCATTCTACAGCAGAGTTGCATCCCAAGCTCTTAACACTTGTTTTTAACGAAGGAGTTCTAATCAGGCAGCAACTGTAATGCACACTTTTTTTGCCAAATGACAAACAGTTCCCTATTTGCTGCTGTGTGTCAGAAAATACTTTTGTTGGTTTCAGGGTTTTGAAAATTGAGGTGCACAGTAGACTCAATGACACATTAAATTCGAGTAAATACGGTTGTTCCCTGTTGAAGAAAGTGTTCTGGCTTTTGGAGATAGGGTTGAAAATCGTCATATTTAGGCAAAGTATTCAAAGATAATTTGAGTATGTTATATTTAGGGGCCTTTTCTTAGTTTCCTTTTCAGATCTTCTTCCACTCTTTTCTTGATGCATTTTTTTCCTGATTACCCCCCCCCCCCTTCCCAGTGTTCTTTGAACACAATCAGCCAATTCTTTTGCTATGTGTTATTTTGGTATCAGCACAGTCTTTCCCCTTAAATCTAAATGACTTGTTTAACTGTTCATATGATGAGTATGTCCATTGGGATTTCAAAAATATCAGTAACTACAGAGGGATGCAGCATACTTCTGCAAGAGTTGTGACTGAGATACAGTTGTGCTTTTATTTGGAATCATCTGAATATTATGTTGTGGGAGCAGAAACTGGTCCTAATCATGTTGACTTGGAAGTAAGCCCCATTGCTTTCAATCTTAGAATTGCAGTTCATGAAAATAGCAAGACATCTCAGATCTTCAAGGGGAGCTGAAGAACCTGAAACTTGGAAGCACCCGGAAGACTTGGAAGAGACAAATTGGCTACTTGAAGACCAGTTGTCGTTATTCTTTGATGCTGCCTATTGATCAGTTGATCTACACTTTGAATATTCTCAAACTCTACCATAATTTCGGAACTAAAGCAGGTTTTAAAGATGGAAAAGTATAAAGGTATACATATCTTCTTATAATAAATACTATACTTGACATTATACTAAATATTCTTTGAGCAGTAGCTGGCTACTTGGAGTGCCTCTGGTGTTGTTATGCTGTGTTTTGCAGTAAATATATTCAGATTTAATTATAACAAGTTTGTGAAGTCTATAGTTGAAAGATGAAAGAAGAGAATATATTGGTGAGAATATACTGCTGGATCATTTGTTGTTGTAATTGTTAGAAAAGTCATTTCTAACTTAGGGCAACCCCAAGGTGTCTTGATCATGGGGTTTTCTTGGCAGTATTTATTCATAGGGGGTTTCCCTTTGCTTTCCTCTAAGGATGAGAGAGTGTAAGTTGGCCAAGGTCATCCAATGGGTGGATTCAAAATGCTGGTCTCCTGATTCTTAACACAATACCTAAACCACTACATCACAAAATAGACTACTCTAGTGGGCTGTGTTTCATACCAAAGTCATCAGTAGTAGAAAAGCTATCACTCAATTGTTTTCTATACTTGCAACCAATTTAAATTGTAGCTTACCTCTCACGATTCCAGTAGTAGCTTTTAATAATAGCATTTTTTAATAATAGTAAAGATTTCCTGTCTTAGTGGGGAATGTCTTTAGTATGTTTACTGTATCTTCAGAAGAAGTGCTTTCATCTGTGGATTGACTTGGACACCTAAAGTACCTGCATGTTTCATCCATAGAAGACCCTCTGTATGAAATGAGTTGTACACAGACACAGTCTATAGTAGTTTCTAAAACGCTCCCACTTTATTCTGAGGATGTTTGCTCTTCATATATGTAAAATGAGTAGTGTGAAAAAATTAGCAGAGGACTCCTGGATTAATCAACCCTTTTAAGTAATAAAAGAGAATGTCCATGCATATGAGAGTCATAGTTCAGAAAGCTGTGTGCATCAGCTATGAATGTAATAACATACGCAGAAGACGATGTGTTTTATGTGAGATGCTCAGTTAATTTATTGTTATTCTTCACTGATATATCCATTGGACATTTTTATTTTGTTTTGTGACCACCAATGTAAAAAGTTATTTCCCCTCATGTTGCATTCAAAATACCCTTGTGTGCCAATGATCCTATTTCTCTATAAGTATATTGCAAACCCCTCCACCCCAAAAAACCCCCAAAATATCTTGATAGGTTTGTCTTAATACTTTTCAGTGTCCTATTCAGTTGTGTATTGGTAATTTCTGCAGGTGTTGGTTATGAGAATCTTAAGTTCCTTCTATCAGTTGAGATGTAAACATTATCAGTATTTGTCCAAAAGTTCTGGAAGGGGGGTGATTGAAATTATACAGGTGATGTAGAAAATATATCTTAAGCATATTTACATCATTTTTGCAGCAACAAAAAAGAGTTTTAAACAAAGTTCTCATTCCATAATGTTTTTAACCTTTTTATTTTTTCCTATAGAAAAATTGAACTAAGATGTGATGATTTAACTTTGTAAGAATCCTCTGTAACCATGATGGCAACGCAGACATTAAGCATAGACAACTATCAAGATGGGCAGCAAGTATGTAAAAATGCACCATTTTATAATAGCAGAAATATTTTTATTAACTATAGTACACAAGATTTGAGTCCACATACATTTCATTTATAGAGCCTATTGGTGGCTGTTATTTTTATATTGTACACAAGCTATGCCAATACATTGCATGTTACCAGTTCTTTTTCTAGTGCCTTTTGTAGAAATCTGGAGTAATTGATTTTAAAGCAGTAGGGAGCCTTTGGGGCCCAATTAGTTCGGAACATAGGAAGCTGTCTTATGTCGAGTGAGACATTTTATCCATCTAGCTCAACACTATTTACTGTGAATAGTTACACTTTTCTAGGTTCTCAGCCAAAATTCTTTTTCATTATCTGTTACCTGATTATTTTAACTTGAGATTCAAGAAAAGACCTACTACACATGAAATATATTCTACCATTAAGCTATGCTCCCTTCTGAACATTGCTGAATTAAGTTGGCTTTATTATTGTTTTCACACATCGCCTCCAACTAAACATGTCTTTGGATCTTACATTTTCCCTCACAGACCTGCTTTTCTTCATCCTAAAATTTGCTGCTCTGCTGATTGGATTGTTAACCACCTCTTGTGCACTAGCTATTTTGTCTCAAATTCAATTCAGATATTTTGTTGAATAAACCATGCATTCTTCATTATGGTCTCTGTAGATCACACATACTGTTCTTACACAATATTTTATTGCTAAATTTAGTTCTAAGGATAGTCCGAATATAAAAAATGCTTTCTATGATTAGCCTTAAAACCACGGTTCCCTGCCTTTAAAATATTAGGGTTATATCAATGTTAAACATTGGATATGAGAAAATTCTTTCTGTAACATAAATACTAAATAAAATGCTAAATGAAAACATTTCAATAATTTATCATTAATTATGTAATTTGCTCATTAAAACATTAGTGTTGGCCCAGGTGAAGGAGGCACAGGCGCTGGGTGATTCTGGCCGAAGGCAGCCAATTGCAGCTCAGGGAGGCTTTGGATTGGGCTGTAAGTTAACAACATGTGGAAAAACCAGAGGCTTGTCTCTGGGAGAGTCAGACAAGGTTTGGATTTGAAACAGATAGGGTTAGACTTTGACAGCCACAATGTGTTTTTGACAGAGATGGAGACATTTGACACAGAGGGAGTTTGGATTTCAGAGACAAAACTGTTAATCAGAAGGGAAAATTGATTCTTGTCTTGGAGATCAATGAAATAATTTAATTTCCAATGGTTCATATGTTACCTTACTGTGTTTTAATAAACTTACATTAGTTATTCCCTTTTTGAAATGTCTGGTTAGCACTGTCAAGCGTCATAAAGAGTCAGGCCATACTTATGTTAAAGAACTCACACAACGACAACAACATAATAACAATAACATAACAACAACAACAACAACACTTTATTTGTATTCCACCCTGTCTCCCCGAGGGGACTCAGGGCAGATTCCTCACATACGGAGACACAAGGCAAACATCCAATGCCTCAAAACAATGAAACATAGACACACAGATAAAGGTAAAGGCTTCCCCGTCATCTCCAGCTCTGGGGGTGGTGCTCATCTCCTTTTCTAAGCCAAAGAACCTGCGTTGTTCGTAGACACCTCCTGGTTATGTGGCTAGCATGACTGCATGGGGCACAATTTACCTTCCCGCCAATGGGGTACCTATTGATTTACTCACGTTTGTTTTGGAACTGCTAGGTTGGGCAGGAGCTGGGGCTAACAGTGGGAGCTCACCCTGTCCTGCGGATTCAAACCGCCAACCTTCTGATCAGCAAGTTCAGCAGTTCAATGGTTTAACCCATTGCGCCACCACAGCCCCTACATGGCCACAGGCCCACAGTTAAGGGGTCATCATGATATCCTGGAACTCAATTCAGAATTTGGGAAGCAAGGGCATGGTGAGTGGCAGGATTTGAAGGGCTGGAACTGTGGGGCCAACTTGGGAGACGGGATCAGTCACAGAAAATAGCTTGGAACGTATCACTGTTGATTTTAGAAGAATATACTTTTTATTAGTTCCTTTAAACTACCAGGTTGGAAAGGCTGTTTAAAACCATATAATTTCATTTTACAGTTGTCTTAGTTCGGTTTGTCCCTCATCTGCATCACTTTTTCTTTCCAGTCCCACCAACACAAACACTTCATTAACTCTTTAAATGTCTTGTTTCTTAAAAGATTAATAAGGGGTGATTTTTTTTCGGAGCACCGATCTATTTCAAATACAGCAGTCATCATCATAGGTGATCCCTCATGACCGAGTATGATTGCCTTACAAGTATAGAGTCTTGGCGGTGGGACCGTAGGTGACTGTAGAGACCTACTCTTGATCTGCACGTTTTCTTGCAGTGAGAACATCAATTTCCAGATGAAAGGCGATCCCAACCAAGGTCGGCTTGATGAACCTTCCTCTTGACACATTTCTCTCTTTTACCCTCCATTCATGCCTCTTCAGATTCCACAGCACTGGTAAAATGGACCTCCAGTTAGAACACTCTGGGGCCAGGGTTTCCCAGTTCTCGGTATCTATGCCACAGTTTTTAAAGTTAGCTTTCAACCCACCTTTAAATATCTTTTGCTATCCACCAACATTCAGTTTTCCATTCCTGAGTTGAGAGTAGAGTAACTGCTTTGGCAGGTGACGATGGGGCCAGTACAGCAAAGTTGGTGGCGGAGGATCATTGCTTCAGTGCTGGTGGTCTTTGCTTCTTCTAGAACGCTGACATTTGTCCGCCTGTCTTCACAAGAGATTTGCAGGATTTTATTTATTTATTTATTTATTTATTTGCTTTATTTTTATACCGCATTTTTCAGCCTAAATCGGCGACTCAATGCGGTTTACAATGCAATTTATATAACAATAACAATTAGATTAAAACACAACATACACGACAGACAATACAAGACAAAACAACGTGGTCATCAACGCCTCAGTAAAATCAGATTCCGTTCTCATAATCCTTCTACCATTCCTTGTTCATTTATACCGTCTTCATGAGTTCAGTTGCCTTGTTGACCGAACGCCTGTTCATAGAGCCACGTCTTGACCTTCCTCCGGAACTCCAGCAACGAAGGGGCCTGCCTGATGTCTGCGGGTAGGGCATTCCATAGCCGAGGGGCCACCACCGAGAAGGCCCTGTCCCTCGTCCCCGCCAGCCGCGCCTGCGACGCAGGCGGGACCGAGAGCAGGGCCTCCCCGGACGATCTTAACGTCCTCGTCGGTTCATAGGTGGAGATTTTTCAGAGGCAATGATGATAGAATTGTTCCAGAAATTGAGAGTAACGTCTATAGACAGTCCACATTTCGTAGGCATATAGAAGAGTTGGGAGTACAATACCTATATAAACAAGCATCTTGGTATTCCTATGAATGTCCCAATCCTCAAGCACTCTGCTTCATTTGAAAAACACTGGACTCGCAGAGTTCAGACGGTGTTGTATTTTGGTGTCAGTGCTGACTTTTATGGAGAGGTGGCTGCCAAAGTAGGGGAAATAGTCTAACATTATACCATTAAGCTGAATTTCTGGCACTGCAGAAAGATTGGTTAATGCCCACTGTAGAGCACTTGCGTTTTCTCGATGTTCAATGAGAGGCCAAGCTTTTTGTAGGCTTCTGCAAAGATGTTTAAAATAGTTTATAGGTCTTCTTCTGAATGAGTACAGACTACATTATTACTGCTGTATTGGTGTTCTATAACAGACACTGTTGTGACCTTGGTTTTGGCTTTCAGTCTGCTGAGGTTGTATAGTTTGCCATCTTTCAGATTGTTGATTTTCACACTAGTAGGAAGCTTCACATCAACAAGGTGCAGAATCATAGTTATGAAGATGGAAAATAGGGTTGGAGCAATATCACATCCGTGTTTGATACCTGATTCCACCTTAAATGCGTCACTTTGGGAGCCATTGCTGTCCAAGACGGTTGCAATCATGTTATCATGGAGGAGCCACAGGATATTTACAAATTTGTCAGGGCATCCTATTTTTAAGAGGATGGACCATCCAGAGAGCATTGCAATTCACTGGCGAATGCCTTGGTAAGGTTGATGAATGCCATGTACAGAGGTTGATTTTTTTCCATGCCTTTTTATTGAAGCTGTTGTGCAGTGAAGATCATATCCACTGTTCCTGTGGAGAGGCGGAAGCCATTCTGGGATTCAGGGAGGATGTCTTCTCAGATAGGTAGAAGGGGTTTGCAAGGATTCTTGCAAAGATTTTTCCAGCAGAAGTTAAAAGGGCGACACCTCGATAGTTTTACACAGTATGCATTTTCCCACTTTTTGAAAAGGATGATGATAGTGGCATCTTTGAAGTCCCCTGAAATCATCTTGGTCACCCACACTTTTTCAGTGCCCTGGTGGTGGTGTTTCAGCTCAGGTCCACCTCCTTTAAAGATTTCAACAAGTTTCCTTCAGGTCCACTGGCTTTGTTGTTTTTTAATTGTCCTATGACTTTGCTGACTTTCTCCAAATTAGACAATGGTGCATGGCGGAGTTAGGATCCCAAATACATACTATGACCCCCCCCCCCCCCAAAAAAACCCCAAGTTTACTCCCCAGTGCATCCATCTTCCCTTAGCTGTATAATATAAAATGAGTGGAGAAGGAGAAGGAAGAAGACAAGCCAAAAGAGAGAGAGAAAAAGAAGCAATAGGTTTGAGTAGGTCTAGCATTGTAATACACCAAAGAATGACAAAAGGGTTCCTTCCTTCAATATAAAGATTTTTGTTTTAGTGAATGTAACAGAGAGAGAGACCCACTGAATTAATTCTAAAAATTCTACCATAATCATTAAAGCATTTTTAAAACTTTGGTGTTAATTTGGGAATCTAGACAATTATGAAAAATCCTATAAAATAAAGGAATCAATAATTGGTTAAGTTAATTCTAACATATGATAGCAACCATAAAAATGTTCGAATACATGCAGTCATACATGAATTTTAGTGGATAGCTTGTGTTTGGGATCTGTTGAAAATATGCTAGTGTAATGTGCTAACT